CTCCCACTCGGTCAGTTTTCTTTCACCGGAATCTTGTTCCGTCGAAGAAAACCACATATTAAACAAGTTATCTGCAACAACAACAAAAAAAGAATTTTTGTCACCGCCAACCATTGCAACTCCTTAGTTTTTATCATCGATACTAGATCTAAAAACCCAGATCTAAAAAAATAAAATAAAAGAATTCAAAATATATGAAAGGAAACTCACGTAATAATAGAACGAATTGTAGAAGCCGTGGGAAGATCTAGATCTTCGAGCTTGGAAACAATGGAGGCGCATTGGTACAAAAAATCGGTAGGGCTATGCCTCTTTTTCTCTATCTGAAACATCGATGCTTTGAAATTCATTGAGGATAACTATTCATGCAATAAAATTTAACAAAAAAAAAAAGAGAAAGAGGAGAGCAAGAGAGGAATGGAAGATTAAGAAGAAGAGAAAGAAGGGGAAGAAGAATAGCAGCGCCGTTAGAGAGAGAAGAAGAAGAAGATGAATTTAGGGTTTCTGTTTTTTCTTTTTGATTTTGTGTATTTTTTTTATTTTTTATTTTTTAAAAGTTCGTTTAAAAATAGTTTTTCTTACAAAAAATAAATTCGAAATTTTTTCAAAAAAAATAAGTTTTTCCGAAAAAAAAATTTGACCAAAAAAAAATCAAAATGGCAATTTTGTAATAACAGAAAACATTATGATGATTTTTTATTTTATTAGTAATAAAAAAAATAATTTTTTATTTTATTAATAATAAAAAATAATTTTTTTTATTAACCATAATGGTATTTTCGTAATAATATTCAATATTTGGATAAAATGATATAAAACCAACTTTATAAGGTTAGTCTGGTAAACCCTTCAATATGTTAGGCTAGGTTTGTCAATTCATCAACCTTAAAGGCTAGTCTGAGGAATTTTCACTTTGCTTAATCCTTATCTCATTGTAGTTATTGGATTAAGTTGGGCTTTACAAATTATAATCGATGTTGGGTATGGGTTTTATTTATCACCACTTGTATTTCCCATTATGGGTTTTTATGAAATGGCATATGGTTGACAAAAAATCCGACTCAATATTTGTTTTTAGAGGGTTTTACTTTTTTTAGTCTTCTATTAAGTCTTTTTTATGTTAATGGTCGAGTGAAATTTTTTTTCCGAGTCTCTTTAAGGTTTACCAACCGTTTTATTTTTCATTCAACAACTGCTTTCACCATCATCTGTAACTGTTTTACTATCCGATTTACCAATGTTGCCTCCAAAAAATACTTTTTACGTGTTAATTTACGGAAGAATGACTATAATAGCTTTCAAAAGTCTAGAAATTATTAAAACAACATAAAACTTTCATAATTACTAGAATAACCTACTGTAGCCATTTTACCCTTGTAACTTTTGTTGAGAAAAAACATAATTAGAATATTGCCATTACTATTTATAATCTATGTCAGGCGCAAAAATATGGTTTATTTATGAAACAACCAAATACAAAAGTCTATCAATATTTGATGGGAGAAATATATTTTTTGGTAGACTAATATTTTGAACCGTATATTTTTTGGGTCAGTAGATTTGTTTGACAGACGATCGATTTGTTTGAGAGTCAGTAAATTTGTTTGACGTTGGTAGATTTATTTTGGTAGATTTATTCTTACATGTGATAGAGATGTTATTGGTTGGTAGACTTTGTAAATTTTGGGTAGATTTGTTTGTAATTACGGTAGATTTGATACGAGTTGGTAGACTTTTTTACTGATGGTTGACTTTTGGTTGACTTTTTGGTAGATATTTCACCACATTGGTAGATTTTTCCGTCTTTAACGGTAGGTTTATCTTGTCCGAGGTAGATTTTTGTGTAATGATAGCAGACTTATCATTGGATGGTTTGATTCTCAATGATGGTAGATTTATGTTTAATAACGGTAGATTAATAAGGATGGTAGATTTAAAATTGTGTTGGTAGATTTACTTTTATCTTGGTAGATTTATTGTTCAAACGGTAGAGTTGTTGGTAGAGACGGTAGAGTTAATTCACGATAAAATACGGTTCCTAGATTTCTAAGTGTAGTGATTTATTTGAAGAGACAACAGATTTTTTAACATTAGGCAGATTTGTAAAAACATTGGTAGATTTATCAGTAATGGCGGTAGATTTATATAAAAGGTTGAAAAACACAAAATTGGTAGATTTAATTACAAATAGGTATATATATTTGATATTGATAGATTTATCTGAAATTGATAGATTTGTTATTTGTTATTAATGGTAGACTTATTAAAATATAGATTATTAAATGATGATTTTGCCCATAAAAAAAAACTTTCTATTTGCAAAGAAAAACCAGGCACTCATTGTGAAGATGGTTGTCACGGTCTAAATATTTTTTTGTGGTAGATTGATAGTAATGATGATAAATTTGTTTTGATATATAAATTTTTAAGTACTAAAATGTCAATAACAAATAAAAAGTTGTATTATTACTGTAATCAACATTAAACTATATATTAGAATATTTGAGTATTTGTTAGACAATCTCTCGACAATGGTGGTTGATGCAAGGTAAACTAAAATAAAATAAGGATATTTCTTGAATCAAAATTAACTCTTAAATTAAAGCAATATAATAAAAATTAGGAAGAGGTAGATCCGTGTCTGAAATGGCATATGAGTTTTGTATTTTTTTTCCTTGGTTTGTGCTTGTTTGTTTCCTTTTTTTGGTATATAAAATGAATATGTATTTTAATTTCTTTCATATTATTGGGTTGATTCATATGTTTTTAGTTTATAGCTCACTTATTTTGATTATACATATTAAATAATTATTAAATTATTATTTAAAAAAATCTGCTGCCATTTCAAATAAATCTATCAAATCTTAAAATTAAATTTACCATTTAGTAAACAAATCTACACATAATTTTTTTGATAAACCAATCCCCATTTCTTTGCAGGTAACTCTACTTCCCTTCCATCGTATAGCCTAATGACTCTTTTGATCCACCGTTCGTCGTCTGTCACCTACTAAATAAGAAGATAAATACACAAAATTTAAAATAAATCTACCATCATTTAAAAAATAAATCTATCATTATATCAAAAATTACTGTCAATGTATAGTAAACCTAGACAAAAATAAATCTTCCATCATTTGACAACAAATCTACCACCATTAGGAAAATAAATCTACGATTAATGAAAATCTACCAATAACTCTACCATCATTAGCGAAATTTTGTCGAACAGTTCGTGGGCGTATCTCTTGAATCATCATATCAACTAAAAACACGATCAAATAACCCAAAGAGAGAAGATCTTGTGGAAGGACGGTGGAATACATCTGCTGGCAAGAGGTTCTCTGCAGTGGAGCATATCGGTGGAGAGGAGCAGCTGAAATCAGTGTCGAAGATACACTCACATATCGCCATTGTTGTAGGAGAGAAGAAGAAGAGAGAGAAAGAAATCCCTAAAGAAGAAGAAAGAGAAGAAAAAAAGAAGAGAGAGAGAGAGATTTATCGATGATAAGTAAAGAGAGAAAAAAATTATTTTTTTAACAATTAGAAATTCGTTTTTATCAAAAATAAATTAAATTGGTATTTTCATTATTAATATGAAAAACGCCTTTATATATCTTTTGTCAACTTTTGAAAATTAATTTAGTTATACCAATTTGGAATAGAGTTATTCTAGTAAATGGACAATCTTTAAAGGTTGTTCTAATAATTATTCCTTAATTTACACTATCAACTTCGAATCTGTAGAATGAAGTTAATAATTTACAATATATGTATACAAATTACAAATATAGTCCCAAAATTTATTTCTAAACGTTTTTATATCCATGTAAACACAATGTGACAAACGATAGAGATAAATATACATCATATATCTACAGTGGTAGAGCTAGGAAAAAGAACTACCTGAGTCAACAATATAAGATATAAATATTATAAACCTTGTAATTTATGTTATCCCATAATAACCAAAGTAATTAAATAACTTTCATTATTAACAGTTTTACTAAATTTGGATATAAAAAACATTTTAATACATGATATTGGTTAAAAAAAAATTGGAATGGACCAAGTAAACAAATAGATAAAAAAAAGTGTTGGAAGAAAACGATATAAACTTAATAAGCAACCAAAAACTTTAAAAAAGCAAAAAAGAAATACACAACCAAATTAATTAAGAAGATCACTTAAAGATAGAAAGGAAAAGCTCAAATTAATGATAGAAAAATATAACTAATGGGATACTGAAAAAGAAAAGAAAAAGATGACACGGAGGAAAGAAAAAGAAAATAGGACAGAGAGGCTTCACAAATAACAATGGCATCAAACCATTAAAAACTAAAGAAAATGTGCTATATAACCAAGGAGCTGTTCATAATTAGGTATATAGGAAAAACGTACTATTCATAGTTCAATTTTCAATATGGCGTTCTTGAGAATGTATCGTGTCAGAACTATTATTAAAAAAGATTAAAATATTATTGAATATTTGAAATTTAAAATTCAATCATCGCACACATCGCTACATACGCTGATATTGTGATATACGGATGAATAAATGTTAAACAGTGTCGTCTTGTAGGGTATTTTTTTAGATAGAGAACTCACTAAACATCAAAATTTCGATTTTGTTCATCCCTTTTGTCAGAACCAAAGTCCGATTCGCTTTAAGAAGTTCCAGATTCGTCCGAGAAATACAAAGCCTTTTTGCATGTAAGTCTGTTAAAGAGTATTTCCTTTTCCAATTTAAACCCATATACAGACTCTTGATCTATTCCTTATCAGAAATCGCGCCGATGTCCAATCTTCAATTACCAGAGAGGATGTTTGCCGCGGGTCAAGAACCCATCGGCGAAAGGGTCAATACTTACCAAAAAACAAAAACTGTTCGAGCCATTATAAATGCCCTTGATGAAGACGAAGTTAAGCGTCTCAGGGAGTCGCAGTTGGGGAGTCTCTTAGCGACCATGGAGATGCCTGCTTTCTCTGGGAGTTTTGGATACTACATGCTTGCTCGTCTATTGCGTGTTAAGAAGAAACACGAGTTGTGGTTTTTGTTCGCCGGCCGCCTGTAAGATTTTCCTTGCGCGAGTTCGCCATTGTTACCGGTCTTGAGTGCGGTAAGTTCGCACAGCAGAAGAAGAAGAAGAATCCTATTACAAAGAAGCCCTATTGGGCCGAATTGTTTGGTCTTTTGAAATCGTGTACCGTCGACTCAGTAATCCAGATGCTTTCTAAGAAGAAAATTACCAACAAAGAGAAAAGATTTAAATGTGCATGCCTTGCTGTTACTGCTGTTGTTTTGGTTCCCACATCTCATGTGACGAAGATTGTCCCCGAGCATGTTGAGCTGATTAGGGACATCGAGGTGTTCCTGGCTTATCCATGGGGGAGGGTGGGTTTTGATTTGCTAGTGTCAAGTATAAAATCCAAAGACGAATTGGAGTTATCGCAGAAGACAATTGCGGTAAAAGGATTCTTTTATACGATTCAGTTGGTTATGATGGCTGCGATCCCAACATTGACAGAAGTTGTGCAAGAGCCATCGGGGGACTCAGATAGCGACGGTGAAGAGGAGTCCGATGGTCGTGATGAGCAACAAGCGACCACGATGCCAATACGGGCTCCGATGAATTTGTAGTTGGTGCCGGTGAAATCGCGGCCGGTCAAGTGAAGATGACGCTCAGCCCCAGTCATGCTCGGGACATAGATGAAGAAGCGAAGGTAGTTTAATACTCATTTACCATGCTATTCTAAAATAAAACAGTTAAATATGAGTTTAGCATGGTAACATTATTGTTAGTCGCTATAAAAATATATTCATGCGTTGTATATATCATAGACATTATGATGTATCTTCGTTGGTTAACAATTCCTATAACGCTTCATGCAGGTTTTCGTTCATTCCATCATTCCTGTTAGCGAAGACTATGCCATCGAAGGCATGGATCTACGTTGGGCTGATGAAGAGATGGATGCGGCTGTTGATGTCACTGTCAAACTTATAGGTGAAGGGTTTACGTTTACCAAGGACATGTTTACTGGTGGGTTGACATCGGCCGACTTGCTCCGTATTCGCAGCGAGAAGGCACATAAAGAAAAATAAGTTAGAGATAAGAAGAGGAAAGATAAAAATGCAGAAAGTTCGCCTATCACTACACATATAGATCCGGAGGCTATTGCTGAGCCTGTGGCTGCCAAACTGAAGATGGAGCTGCAGAGTTTGAATAACAGGTTGCGAGATTTGGAAGCTGGCTTTATCTTACAGAATGGGAAGATTTCGGAGGCTATATCTTCTTCTTTTAAGTCCTTTGAGACATCCGTGCTTGCTTCATTCTCGCATTCTGGCCATCATATGTCAGATGCACATGTCCACGAGGAGTTGACACGTTCGCATAATAACGTCGACAGGTCCAATACTCAACCCTCTGCACCGAGCCGCCGCTCCCCTGTGCACTCAGATCTTGACAACCAGCCTCTTTCCAAGGAGGCAGGCATCACTGCTCCTTCCCAACCACTCCCCTCCCCTGCGCCCCAACAACTCGCACCCAGCTTTAATCCGATTTCAAAGGCTCCAGGGCTCGCAATGAGTAATGAAGAATTCATTCGGAACCTCACGCAATCCATCAACGCTCAGGTTTGCTGTTTTCCTTCCAAAAGCACTGTCATTTTCGATTACATCAGTAGTAACATGTTTAATGTCTTTTTATAGGCCACTGAATCCTCATGCTTTTCTGGATCTTTCTCTGCAACATACCAAAAACTGGTTCCCATCCTAATCCAGCTATTTCTGCAACGACATTACCTATGGGGTCGCAACCCATTCCTGAGGTTTGTAGCGTGTTATATCTGTTTTACTCATATCCAATATCTTTTGTATCACGTAAAGATATTTTATACCATCTACATTATCAGTTAGCAATTCAACTTGTCTGTATCAGGAATTTTTTTTTTCCCAGGCCGAACGAATTAGGAATTCACCCACTGCACTTGCTGCCAACACTAAAGCGGTTCGTATCTCGATCCCCTCAACCATCTCAATCCGCAAGTTGTATCTTATCTTTTCTAAATACTTTTTCAGATGGATTTACTTTTATCCGTATCCCCAACCTTCTCTCTTGGCCTCACTCAAGAAAATCCGTCGATCCGGAACCAGACTACTTAAATGCCGTCTTTCCTGACGACCCTGTTCAGCTCCCACGTAAAAGCAAAAGACTTAAGACATCGTCTGTGGTGTATAAGGATTACCATTGTGGGGTAACTCAGACGAATCCATCGAAGATTGTCTTCTCCATGCCATGTGATCCGAAAGTTAACTATGGGTCTCGGTTTGCGGATCTAAAAGCTAAGCTCAGTCTTGACCGGTAAGACTTTTGATTGGAATATTACCAGGTAACTATATCAGTAGACTGTTAAATAAATTGTTAGTTGCTATCCATGTTTTTAACACATGATTTATATATATATCGTAGTCGTCCTATGAAGGTTTATGAGGGTTCTAGCGTCGATTCCGAAGATGTTATTGATATCGGGGAGAGAACACGAGTGCTTCCTCATAAGGTACATTACTACATCTCAGTTTTAAACTCATTTTTCTTTCACCATATTTTTTTGTCTCCAATTCCTCAGGTGGTGGACGCTGTTATGTATTACATCCGCCATATTTCGGGCCCACAAATGTACCCGATGAACTACAACAAGATTGAATTTTTTGACACTATTTTCCCAGTCCTCATCAAAAATCACTACGTCAAATTTACGAAGACTGCCGTCAAAGATCGATCAAAGTTCAAGTATCAACCTTCGTTGATGTCTTACTTCGAACTGGAAAATCCTCTTCGCCCTCTGCCGGAATTCATGTATTTTCTGTTTAATTTCGACAAGCGACACTGGGTAGGCGTTTGCGTAAACATCCCCTTCGGTACTATCCTCGTTCTCGCCAGCAATGTTGCTTTCCGTTCTGATAGTGCCCTGAAAAAAGACTTCGCACCCATATGCAACATGTTCCCATTTCTCTCGCGCTGCAAGCACCAAGGCCTTGCGTGATGAGAAACCATATTCATTGGAGAGAGTCCTAGGCATCCCGCAGAGCGAGCGTAACGCGGACTCTGCAGTAGCTGCGATGCTCTTACTCCAGGCTCATGCAACTGCTGGTATTGAAGGATGTAAAACCATTTCTCCTGAAGTGGTAGCTTCGGAGTCGCTTAAACTAGCTGTTCTGTTTTATGACGAGTTTGGACCTGATTCTTAACATTTTCTGGTGCGTTAACTTTCTTGTTTTTTTTTTCTTGAATCCGCTATTTTCTTTTTACTTGTTGTTACCTCGCCCTCTTATGTACGGATCTGATAGTTTGGACTCAATAATTTCACCTACGCTCTTTATGCACTGCTTGTTATCCGTATGATGTTTGAGGGCATTTTTCATTAACTTTTACAGTTTTGTAATTTGTTTTGACCATAACTACACTTGCATATTCCTCTTATATCGTTTGTTACCTAGGTTATTCAACTTGTTAACGATCTATCTTTTTTTACTCATCCACTTTTACATGTATTGATTTTTGGGTGTAACTCCAAGAAACCGTTATGTTCTTTCAATTTTTATAATAATACAGGATAACTTCAGTAATAGACCGTTAACTACATTATTGGTATCTATTACTCTGTTTATACCTACCACACACACCTACGTCAGATAACGTCTATATATTGTCTATTTTTCTCGAAAACCAAAGTTCATAATTCATTCAGCGTACTTTTTCTAAACTTTAAAACAGCAAGTACTTTTTGTAAATTAGGAAACTGCATAAAGCGAATATAATACATAACCACTTGAAAAGAGAACAACAGTCTTAACAGGAACATATTACATTAAGGGGGTAAGGACCTAGTTAGACGTATACCACACCCGATATAGTCTGCTAAAGGGACTTACGCATTATATTTTACACACACATCCAGTTTGAAAATTTGGCCGGCCCTTCCTTCGGCACATAACAAAAAACTGCCATTTTCTTGCATTCGCGCCCTTTCCCCCACCTTTCGAGTCCTCATATTGGGTTCTTACAAGTGGCCCGGTTGTGTCCCCGGCCACCACAACGACCACAGATCGTAAGACGCCTCACAAATCTGCCCTGCAAACTTGTGTATAAAAAACACTAGTTATATACATTTTTCAAGTTAAGTTAACATGTAACCATCCATAATTCTTTATAACCATTAAATTGTTTCTTACCCTGAATTCACCCTCAAATATATGCACTGTTTACGTGGACGTCCAGGTGGGCGTCTCGTCGCTGGTGGCAGTAGTGCGAAATTAGCGATCACGTCTCCATCATTGTTCGGTGACTGATAATCTGGTACCGGGTAGATACTCTCCGAATACGCCATTCTCCAGAATGCGGTTATTAACTCGTCCCCAACCAACTGTTCGACGCTTGCCTTTGCACGTACCGCCGCCAAAACCGCACGCGAACAATGAATGGAAAGAAGCTGGAACTCGCAACAGCTGCAAGTTCTCTTACACAAATCCACCTGAAATCTCATTCCGGTTTTGTCAGTCACTTCGAACTCACTCTCATTGATTCGGTTGACTCCATACCCAGTCCCCATCTCGAAGTTTGCAGCTACAAGCATTTGTATTCGTTTAGTTAGCACACTAACCTCATTGTTAGCTTTCTCCCTCCTTGTGTTGAACCAACTCATGAGGGTTGTTCTAATGTGCTCCAACAAGGGAATTATCGGATAACTCCGAGCTTCAGCAAGGGTCGCATTCAATGATTCAGCAATGTTGCTGGTCATAACATTGTACCGCACTCCAGTGAAGTGTGAACGCGTCCATTGTTCGAACCCAATTGCTGCGAGATATTCTGCACACGCCCTATCGATTTCAACAATCTCGTTGAAGTGCTCGTTAAACTCAGACACGTGGAAAGCCCTAGCTGCCTTGGATATCAGATATCACAAGTGCCTTTTCTTGAAATGGCTTGGACGTTTCGTTGTAGGTGCACGACGCATATCCCATGATGCGCCCTTGGATAAACCTGTTATACAGGTAACTTTTAAATATCCCTTTACAAATTCATGTATTGACTACAATAACATTTATCTGTCCAACTTTAAAGATACCAACCTTGGTTAACGCAGCGTAGATTGAATTGTGATGGTCGGATACGAAGACAACATCTTCTTTATCTGGTATTATCTTCAGTAGATTTTCGAAAAACCAAGTCCAAGACTTGTCGTTCTCTACGTCTACAACTGCAAAAGCAAGGGGATAAATCTGGTAGTTACCATCCTGGCCACTTGCGGTTAGTAAACACCCAGCATAATTTCCTTTTAAATGGGTCCCGTCCACAACAATCACTTTGCGCATGTACTTGAACCCTTGAACACACGCCCCCACTGCAAGGAAAAGATATTTGAACCGTTGACCTACTCCTTCTTCAATCTCGGTTTCCAAGTTGACTACCGACCCTGGGTTACTGATAACAAGTTGCTGTAGGTAAGCTGGTAACAATCTGTACGACCCGCCGTTTGTTCCCTTCGCGTAGTCCATCGCAACCTGACGAGATCGCCATGCTTTTATTAAAATATTTTCCAGCTACCAACAATTTTAATCCCTAACTGTGTTTTTATCGT